CTTTTGAATTACTGAAATTCCTACCGTTTTTCGAAAATCGCTAATTGAAATATATCAGTTTTAACAATTTCGTCAAAAAGCTCTGTATAAAAATTATTATTATTTATTCTCAACAATTTTTCTCCAATCGCCAAAATAGCATATGATAATAATTGTTATAAATATTTAACAATTTTATTTTGAAAATGAATACCTCTATAATTTTTGTCCGGCACCATCAACAAGCTATGTTTTTTGAATTAAGTCGTCGAGATCTATCTATATTCTGGAATTTTTGGTGGATTTTGAGGCAACTTTTCCAAGAGCTCAATTTTTCAATATGAGATTTTATGGAATGTTTTAATTTTTTCGAACACTGTCGAAAATTATCTAAAAGGAGCGTTCCCAGATGTGCAGCTCCAAAATTCCTCCGAAAATTTCCAGTATTTTTCAGGAATCGCCAAAGTTTAATATTGTAATTCTTAGAAATTTTTAAAAACTTGACTTCGGAAAGGAATCGTTTAGGATTTTCATGTTTTTCGAATTATCTTGTCATAAACTGCGTTCCACAATTTTACTTAACGAAAAGTTTGATAAGTACTTTCTAACATAAGACTAATTTTGGCATATGACATACACTCCAAGAAAATAAAGAGTGGGTGGGCGGTTCTAGTATTTGATAAGATAAGACTCATTTTGGCACTTTTGACATTTTAGACCATTTTTCAACCATCATAATGAATGATCTTATACTAAACAGAAACAAAAATAGTTGTTAAAATGACAAATTAATTCATTGCCAATGAATTGTCACATTTCATGGCTAGCACTATTTTATCACAACTCGTAAATTATTTTTTCTGTTTATTTCAATACCAGAAGATGTAACAAAATAAATAAAAAAATTGGTCTAAAGAGTTTAGACAGTACTTCCCTCGCTGTCGGAAATTTGACGACTGCATGCCTATTGTGTTTTTTTTTCTCATTACATTTTTGTAGTGGGAATTTAAAAAAAAATTGTGATGACGTCATCAACATTTTTGCAAGGACACGTATATCAGTTGGGATAGATGTAGTGTAATACTAAGAATAAAATTATTGTATTCCCAAATTTTCGGGAAAATGAATTGGGTCGTTTTGAATATTGATTTCTTATAATCAATAAAATAACGAAACAATTTACTCACGTATACGGCGCCGGTGTGTAATATCTAGAGACCGGATTTCTGTCGGGCTAGGCAAGGCCAAACTCGGTACGGCTCGTACGGGATCCGAATTCATTGCGGTTGCGGACTGCACTTCGTTTATTTGAGATTAGAATAACGTTGTTTCGTTGCACTCTGCTGTTAATTCCCGTTCTCATTTACTTAGCCGTTTGATTAATAAATCGTTAATTATATTTATGGAATCCAGCACGTTCCCCCCTATAATCGTGACGTAGCCCGACAGAAATCCGCTGTCTAGTAATATGAGGGGCAACTGAAAATCGTTTATGTATAAACATTCTTAATTTAAGATGACAAGCGTAACAGCATACGTGAGAGTCAAACAGAGAAACTGTAAACAAAACGACCATCGGTTTTATTGCTTCGACTTCCGCTTATTATATAAAACATTGGGTTTTATTTTAATTCTTGACGGTGAAATTCACAATTGGTTGATTATAAACATGTCTATTCCACATTCGCGGAACCAAGTGAGCGCATAAAACAAATGCAGGTTTGTAATGTTAAAGTCGATGTAAATAAGCGTGCTACCCTTATGTTTCAACCGAGTTTTTCCTTTAACAAATTTTGTGTCTACCAAATTGGGTTGGTTGGGGTGTAATACTAATAATAAGTGTTGCCTTTAATTTAATCAATAAAATAAATTGACTTCATTAATTTTTTTGAACCACCTCTTAAGAAAATCTAAAAAATATGACTGGAATGATAAATCACAAGTACAAACTCATCATATTTTTTGCATTTTAGATAGGATTTATTCAGCAATATTTTTAAGGGTGACGTCATCAATTTTTTTAGGAGGGATGAACAAATACATTTTGAACAAAAGTTTACCATGCTTATAACTTTAAAATATTCCCAAGATTTCAAAGCATTCGGTTTTGTAATTCCTGATTAAATCGATAAAATAAATTCACGCATTCATTAATTTTTTTGAGTCACCCTGCATATGCAAATCCAAAAATATGAATGGAATGATAAATCACAAGTACAGACTCATCATATTTTGTACATTTTAGATACGATTTATTCGGCAAACTTTTGAGCTGACGTCATCAGTTTTTTGTAGAAGATAACCGAATATATTTTGACTAAAAATTTATTATGCTCTTTATAACCTTAAAACATCTGCAAGATTTCAAAGCATTCGGTTTTGTAGTTCCTGATTAAATAAATAAAATAAATTTACGCATTCATTAATTTTTTTGAGTCACCCTGTATATGCAAATCGAAAAAATTTGAATGGAATGATAAATCACAAGAAGAGACTCACCATATTTTGTACATCTAAGATAGGATTTATTCAGCAAAATTTTGTGGTGACGTCATAAATTTTTTAGGGGGGACGACCAAATACATTTTGATCAAAAATTTACCATGCTTATGATAATTTTAAAATATCTTCAAGATTTCGAAGCATTCGGTTTTGTAGTTCCTGAGTAAATCAGTAAAATAAATTTACGCTTTCATTTATTTTTTTGAACCACCCTGTATATGCAAATCCAAAAAATATGAATGGAGTGATAGATCACAAGTACAGACTGATCATATTTTGTACATTTTAGATATGATTTATTCGGCAAATTTTCGAGCTGACGTCATCAAGTTTTTGGAGGGGATAAGCAAATATATTTTGACTAAACATTTATTATGCTCTTTATAACCTTAAAACATCTGCAAGATGTCAGAGCATTCCGTTTTGTAGTTCCTGATTAAATCAATAAAATATATTTACGCATTCATTGATTTTTTTGAGTCACTCTGTATATGCAAATCCAAAAAATATGAATGGAGTGATAAATGACAAGTACAGACTCATCATATTTTGTACATTTTAGATATGATTTATTCGGCAAACTTTCGAGCTGACGTCATCAAGTTTTTGGAGGGGATAAGCAAATATATTTTGACTAAACATTTATTATGCTCTTTATGACCTTAAAACATCTGCAAGATTTCAGAGCATTCAGTTTTGTAGTTCCTGATTAAATCAATAAAATATATTTACGCATTCATTAATTTTTTTTGAGTCACCCTGTATATGCAAATCCAAAAAATATGAATGGAGTGATAAATTACAAGTAGACACTCATCATATTTTTACAGTTTAGATAGGATTTATTCGGCAAAATTTCGAGCTGACGTCATCAATTGTTTGGAGGGGATAAGCAAATATATTTTGACTAAACATTTATTATGCTCTTTATAACCTTAAAACATCTGCAAGATTTCAAAGCATTCGGTTTTGTAGTTCCTGAGTAAATCAGTAAAATAAATTTTGCGCATTCATTAATTTTTTTGAGTCACCCTGTATATGCAAATCCAAAAAATATGAATGGAGTGATAGATCACAAGTACAGACTCATCATATTTTGTACATTTTAGATATGATTTATTCCACAAACTTTTGAGTTGACGTCATCAAGTTTTTGGAGGGGATAAGCAAATATTTTTTGACTAAAGATTTATGATGCTCTTTATAGCCTTAAAAGATCTGCAACATTTCAAAGCATTCTGGTTAGCAGATTAAAAATTAAATTTCAAAATGTTGTTTTATAATTTTGATTTTTTTTCCAAAAATCTGGACGTTTCGGGTGAAAAGTCGATTCGGAGTTGTAAACTACATGTGTAGGACTATGTTATTTTATACAATTGAAAACCCATTTACTATGTACAATTTTGACGTGACGTCATCGCATTAGTGGTGGGGATGATTAGACAAATTTTGGTTAGCGTTTTACCATTTACATGATATTCTTAATATAAGTACAAAATTTCACAACAATCGGTCCAGTACTTTCGGAGATTATCTGTCTAATAAAAATCCGGGAAGTAAAAAGATTGAGATAAAGTTTTTTATTCTCTATAATTTTTGTATTTAATGTTTTGCTCTAAAATAATTAGGGGAGCCAATATTTTCAAGTTTCTGTTTTTACATGTAAAATCCCTATGTTCCATAAACAATTCGACACCCGGTTTATCTTTATTTTAACTTATAAGGGTTCTCATAAAAAATAATTTTCGTATACCTAATCAAATTTTATAATTTTTCGAAAAAGCTTTATTTTATTGCACTTCAGGAGCCAGGGAAGTTCTGTTGAAATAACCTTCGACCAATTTTTGTTATAAAAAGAGATGTACACGTATTCTGGCACAAATTGCTTATAGAGATGGCTGTAAAAATCTTTTCAATAATTTCAGAATCGTGACTTTTCCATGCATGTATAAACATCAGTGATTGATGTATGCAAGAAAACGTAATGCAATTTATAATGCATTAAATCATGCATATGCAACTAGACATAATAGTGTGAATTATTATAGCATAAAATTTTTCACTGTATAAAAATTTATTAATCACTAAATATTTTACAGTGTAGAAGAATACCTTTGTCATAAATTTTAAGTATATATCTTGTACATATATTTAACCCACAATTGACTGTTATTTGTTATGTATTTTCATTGTTGACGTATGTAAATTTGTGTATCCAGATATCGGCATGAATTATTATTATTATTATTATCATCAGTTTTTTGCATTGTTTGACAGTATATAGAACAATTTTGTGAATGGGGATTTTTGTGGCACCTGTAATTTATGCCGTTACTGATTCATTTCCCTGTTGTTACATCATAGGCGGTGTTTTTTCCCATCGCGGTATTCGTGCCAGGGCATCAGGTGAGTCGGGTCTCCATCATCCAAAGATTACTGCACGACGTGAAATTAAAAGGTGAGTAGCACAGGTGAGCGCGTAGTGAAACTACCTGAGCCTCACAAGGAGGGGATATGGGTCTCTGGAAATAAAAGATACGCTCGTTAACTCGCATCTTAACCAAGTTAAAACCACCGCAATCCCTGGCGCAACCCCGACCATCCACCTTTTCTTCGACCTCTATCTAGCACAAGAAGCCCAATTTATTCGTACGGTAGATAACTGTTGAGGTGAATGTCGCTTTCTTCGAATAACGTTCGTTTGCTACGGCCCCACTATCGCACACTATAGTTGGAAGGTAGGTTGGAAGCTTGGCGGAGGCCAACCATGGCTCATGGTGCAGACCGCTGACCGGCCGCAGACCCAACATTCACAAGAATTTTTTAGTGATGTGATCTAACGACGCTCGTGCTGTTCTAGCGGCGACTCGCCTTTCGACACTTTGAGTGATTTTTGTGTTGTGAAGTGACTGACTAGACGATGGTAGTGATAAGAAGACAAACAGTGTTTGTGCTGGTGGCGGTGGTGTTTGTGAACTGGACATGTGGGAATGAATGTCCCGATGGTACGCAAGCAGGAAATTGCATCTTGGCGAATGGACATAATGGTAGGTTTACAAGAAACTCATTTATGACGTACTGTTTGTAAACACAGCGTAAGCAGTTTGCCGCATGAGACCAACCTTCAAATGTCATACTTTTGTTTACGTTACTTCCTGATCCTGCTGCAAAAAGGATTAGTTATTTACGTCAAACTTCAAACGTAATATCTTTGAAAAAACAACCGATATGAGCTTAAGGAGAAATGTCGCTCTTATTTTCCGTGGTATTTGCAGTATCCACTTTCAAGATATGTATACAGTTATAATCACTTATTAATAATGACCTACATTCGCTGATTCATAATTTAGGTTGTAATGAAGTGTGCCTTATTCAAGAAGTAAGTTCATAGTCAAAGTAGTAAGCTTACGCTCTAAACCGAACCCGAAAACGAACTTCTCGACTATTATTATGATTAATGTAAAATTCCCCTACGCAATTTCATTCAGTGAAAGATCTCACACCAGAAGAATTCAGCAAATTACTTTTTCTTTTTTTTAATAACGAACTCTTTTTGTCGACGTCAATACTCTACGGGTTGACGAAATCATTTTCCGCTTTTCTGATTTCAATGAAACTTTTTTCTATCAAATCACAAATTAACAGCATCCTGTTCCGCTGCTTTTGCCTTCACATTTAACCGATGTTAAAATAATGATTTCGATTTAATTTATCGTTCTAGATTCGCGAATCAAATTTGTATCCACATTCGTGTCATACGTAATCCGCAATTCGTTTTTTCATGGCCTTACACTCAAGCCTGCGGGCAAATACTGGCCTGGCATTGAACTCAGCTCTTGTGACTAGGATTTTTCCCTAGAGGTTCTGGCGAGATCTAAGTTGTTGACACGGTTTATAAAAAAAGAAAATTATTCGTATGGCTTTTTGGTGTAATCTTTTAAACACGTCTGAGAGATTTCGTGGACGATAATCGTACTGGTCACTGGCCGCTGGAAGGTTTAAATACGTGTGTTTCATTTTAACTCTTGTCAGTATGACAGCATAGTACTTTGTGACAAATGTTTTCAATATATATAAGGTGTTTCGTTTCTAAACCTGTATACGAAAAAATATACACATTATATTTGCAGCAAACGAATGAAAAATATGTAAATATAATTTGTTTGACATGTTTTTGATATATCGTATCATGTAGATGGTTAAATCATAACTAAAATTTGACTAGTCATCCCCATCACCAGTGGGATGACGTCATCTCCAAAATTTATAATAATAAGTTTTTTTTTTAATTTAATAAAATAAGATATCAAAACTGTGTAACAATATGTTACAATTTAACTTTGAAACTGCAAAATCGAATGCTCGGTTACCGTAATCATGGGAAATCGTTAAGCAAAATTTATTCATTTATCCCCTCCCAAAACACTGATGACGTCATCTCAAAGTTTTACCGAATAAATCCTCTCTGAAATATGCAAAAATATAGTTTTTAGAATTACTTGTACAGGGGACTTCAAAAATTAATGATTAATTCAGGAATTGTACCACCGAATGCTTTGAAATCTTGCAGACGTTTTAAACTTACCGTAAGCATGGTAAATTTTTAATTAAATATATCTGTTCATCCCCTTCAAAAAATTGATAACGTCATCCTCTTTCATATAGATAAATCAAGGACGAGGGAAGTTCTGTCGAAATAAGTTTCGAACAATTTTTTCTTTCTTAGGTTTAATACATTTTCTTCATTTTTTTTTAATTTAGTTATTGCTAGCTGTTTACATGAAGGTTTTGCCAAATTTATGATAATGGCATCACTTATTAGAATATCAGCCACTAAACTATGTCACTTCTTACGTATACTATAAATTTAATGCAATTACTGTAGAACTGGATCTATAAAACCCAATGACATTAGAGGATGGAGGCGTCATGCTCGTAGTTTTATGTTAAATTTGCGTTGGAATAGAATCAGTCCTCGATCAAATGTCCACGAAAAACTACTGACCGTTAACCATTGTTACATTGTTATAACGGATTATTTTTTAATAATTAATTAAGTCTAACTACGGTAGTATTTGAAGTATGTTCCTGGCACTGTAATGTTACTGAACTGTATCCTACTGATTGTAATTTTTATATTTTTTTAATAGGTTGGCAACATATTGTCAAATTCACATTTACGACAACAAGTCAATAGCTGTCATTTTTCAAACACGTTGTGAACTGACATACATTAATTCTGCTGCCAACGTAGAAAAATAAGCATTTTACAATTAAGCTCCGCCCCTCGGCTTACGACGAATAAGAAAAATCATCAGAAGAAACTTAGAACATGGTCAAAATGGTAGATTTTTGCAAGAAATACATTCCTGATACAAATTTTCCAATTTAAACATGTGTTAAGTTTCATATTGTGAAAAGAAGTCTACACATATTAAAACAAAAAGGCAAAATATAAGCCCGCCCACCCGCCCTATCTCAATTGTGATGATTTTTCTTATTCGCCCTGAACCAAGAAGGCGGAGTTTAACTGCAAAATACTTGTTTCTTTACAAAAAATTAAAAACATGTTTTTGAGTATCGTGTTGTTCAAAGAATACTATGCACATTAAGAAAAAAGGGCAAAATATATACCCCGCCCACCCACCCCATCTCAATTATGATGATTTCTTTATCCGTAGAAACTCAAAATACGTTCAAAATGGTAAATTTTTGTAAAGAAATATGGATTTTGCAATTATGGGGAGCCTAATTGCAAAATCGATATTTCCTTATAAAAATTTTCCATTTTAAATATGTATTAGGTTTCATGTTGTGAAAAGAAGTCTACACATATTAAAACAAAAAGGCAAAATGTAAGCCCGCCCACCCGCCCTGTCTCAATTGTGATGATTTTTCTTATTCGCCCTGAACCAAGAGGGTGGAGCTTAACTGCAAAATACTTACTTCTTTACAAGACAACAAAACATGTTTTTGAGTATCGTGTTGTTCAAAGAATACTATGTAGAGACATTAATTCTGCTGCCAACAATTCACATGGCAATTTTTCGTAGAAAAATAAGCATTTTAGAATTAAGCTCCGCCCCTCGGCTTACGACGAATAAGGAAGATCATCAGAATTGAGATAGGGCGGGTGGGCGAGGTTTTTATTTTGCCTTTTTTTTTCGTAATATACATAGCCATCTTTTCACTAGAAGAAACTTAAAACATGGTCAAAATGGTAGATTTTTGCAAGAAAATACATTCCTGATATAAATTTTGCATTTTAAACATGTATCAAGTATCATATTGTGACAAGAAGTCTACACATATTAAAACAAAAAGGCAAAATATAAGCCCGCCCACCCGCCTTATCTCAATTGTGATTATTTTTCTTATTCACCCTAAACCAAGAGGGCGGAGTTTAACTGCAAAATACTTCTTTAGAAGAAATTAAAAACATGTTTTTGAGTATCGTGTTTAAAGAATACTATGCATATTAAGAAAAAAAGACAAAATATAAACCCCGCCCACCCACCCCTTCTCAATTATGATGATTTTTTTATTCTTAGAAACTTAAAACACGTTTCAAATGGTAAATTTTTGTAAGAAAATATGGATTTTGTATTTATAGTTAGCCTAATTGCAAAATCGATGTTTCCTTATAAACATTTTCCATTTTAAAAATGTATTAAGTTTCATGTTGTGAAAAGAAGTCCACACATACATATTAAAACAAAAAGGTAAAATGTAAGCCCACCCACCCACCCTCTCTCAATTGTGATGATTTTTCTTATTCGCTCTGAACCAAGGGGGCGGAGCTTAACTGCAAAATACTTATTTCTTTACAAAAACATGTTTTTGAGTATCGTGTTGTTCAAAAAATACTATGTATATTAAGAAAAGAAAGTCAAATTAGAAATCCCGCCCACCCACCCTCATTTTTGATGATTTTTTTTTATCCGTAAAAACTCAAAACACGTTTAAAATGGTAAATTTTTGTAAGGAAATATGGGTTTTGCAATTATGGGGAGCCTAATAATTGCAAAATCGATATTTCCTTATACAAATTTTCCATTTTAAACATGTATTAAGTTGCACGTTGTGAAAAGAAGTATACACATATTAAAACAGAAAGACAAAATGTAAGCCCCCCCACCCGCCCTGTCTCAATTGTGATGATTTTTCTTATTCGCCCTGAACCAAGAGGGCGGAGTTTAATTGCAAAATACTTATTTCTTTACAAAAAATTAAAAACATGTTTTTGAGTATCGTGTTGTTCAAAGAATGCTATGCATATTAAGACAACAAGGCAAAATACAAACACCACCCACCCGCCCTACCTCCATTGCGATGATTTTTTTTATTATTAGAAACTTAAAATGGTAAATTTTTGTAAGGAAATATGGATTTTACAACTAGGCTCCGCCCCTAGGTCTGCCAACGAATGAAAAAAAACTTTATTACTATTTAGATCAGGACAGCTGTAGGTGGGGCTTAATCCTTGGGTTAATTTTTTTCTGAATATACATAGTATTCTTTGAATAACACGATACTCAAATGGTATATTAAAGAACGAGTTTCATAAGGCAAATATTGAGCCACGAATCCAAGTTTATAGAACGAGCGGCGAAGCCGCGAGTTATATAAAGGATGAGTGCCTCAATGGCCTTATGAACGAGTTATTTATACTATTTTTTCTATCGCACACGTTTTTTCCCAAAATTTAATTGAAATTTGAATTTTTTTTAATCTGGGGACTTTTGTCGTGGTTGGTGATGGGTTGGTCTGACACTAACCACGAAATATTTGAGGTTCGAATTTTCACAACAACAATTGTAATTCGAATCAATTCGAGTTTTTGTAATTTAAAATTGGTTAAAATGTCTTGCGAAGAAGTTACGCGTCCGGAAACGTGGGAAATTTTAAGATTAGATTTGCCACTGACATTCATCTGACATTTCTCGTCATTGCTACCAATCTTACCGATCTAAATTACACCAGATCTATTAAAGAACGCCTTTCCGCTATTAACGAACTGCTGTGACGTCATTTGCGTGCGTTAATA